TAAATTTGATTTCTAAGGCATTGCATTAAAATGCTCATTGCAATCAATGAGATGTTGTGCCGGGAGCTAGTGTCTGGCTTGCTTATATGTCTTTGTACCTGGTCCTGGCTCTGGAGAAAGAAGGAGCCTACTTCTCCTCTTTTCTCCCATTCCTAGTCTCTGCAACCCTCTCTTGTCTCTGAGAATTATCTCCCCTCATCCCTCTTTACACCTCACTTCATTTTATTTCCCTTCCCATGGGAACTAAATGGGGCTCTGACACCCTGCAAGCCCCGCCCCCTCCCTCTGATTGGCCGGGACTCAAGCCCATGTCTTCAGAAAACCTGGTTGGTCATCTCCATGATAGCATCCATTCTTGCTCTGCCATTGGTCTTCAGAGACCATGCGTCTCTTCCCATTACCCTGGGTGGAAGGCTGTCTTCTGGCAGGACAGAGACTGGATCACCACAAGGGTTAAGAGACCTCAGGGATGGCTGCTCTGAGGCGGAAGCTCACCTGCTCTCTCTCCTCCAGGCTGACTTGGGGAGCCCTCTGATGTGCGAAGGTTCCCTGCAAGGCCTGTTTGCCATAGAACCTTACACTTGTTCTCCGCCCTTGGTCCCTACCACCTACACGCGTGTGTGTGCGTACCACCAATGGATTACCGATACCATGAGAGAACATTCATAATCCCTCCATACTGCCATCTCTCCATCCCTACGCCCTAGAAGAGTTACTTCGCAAAAATAAATAAATAAATAAATAAATAAATAAATAAATAAAATAAAGGCATCCATGACTTACAGACATGTGTGACTTGACTGTCTATCAAACTCATAATAAAACGTCAACGATAGCCCCAATCAGTTTGGCTTAGCGGATAGAGCATCAGCCTGTGGACTGAAAGGTCCCAGGTTCAATTCAGGTCAAGGGCATGTAACTTGAGTTTGCAGGAGGCAGCTGATGGTTGTTTCTCTCTCATGGATGTTTCCAACTATCTCTCCCTGTCCCTCTCCTTCTCACTTCCTCTCTGTAAAACATCAATAAAGTATATATTCTTTTAAAAATAAATAAAATGTCAACAGTATTCTAACTGAATATTACACTTATTTAAAATCTAAAAGCAGAACACAGAACTTGAAAACCCCGGGATTGGTAAATGAATGAATGAATGAATGAATGAATAAATAAATAAATAAATAAATAAATAAATAAAAATGGTAAGACCAACAGTTTCCACCACTAGGACGGTGGGTTGCTACAGGTTTTGTGAAAGGGAGATTCATCAACAGATTTTTGCAGCCCTCACCTGTATGGCTCAGAAGATAAAGCATCGGCCTTCGGACTCAAGGGTCCCAGGTTCAATTCAGGTCAAGGGCATGTACCTTGGTATCAGGCACATCCTCAGTATGGGGTGTGCGGGAGGCAGCTGATATGTGTTTCTCTCACATCGATGTTTCTAACTCTATATTTCTCTCCCTTCCTCTCTGTAAAAAAATCAATAAGATATATGCTTGTTTGTTTTTTTAAAAGAGATTTTTGCATCACTTTCCATCTAGTTGTTCTAGTAAAGCCGAAATGTAGGTGGGCAAGGTTTGATTGCATCACAACACTATTTGTCAGAGCAAGAGAGAGACAACACTGACCATGTCCCAAATGACTGGGTTGTTTGAGTTAAACAATAAACGGATGGAGGTCAGGACACTCAGGAAACTGATCGGGATAATGATTATGCAGAGTTGTCACCGAGGAATGTGTTTGCTACCTGATATTGAATGAAAAAAGAAACAAACGAAAAGAGTAGTGTAGGCATGTGATCCTCACGGTGTAAAATGAATAGTTTACAGAATAAAGAGCAGGTACCAGACTGCCTGTGGGCAGAGTCCTGGGTGCCTCCTTCCTTCCGTTCTCCGCTCTGTGCCTGCGCACCTCTATGATCTGAAAAACACGAGTGGGGACCTCTGGAGACTTACAGTTGGGAGAGGAGAGCTTCAGAGAGGGAGGTGGGAAAGGAAAGTGCATCTGATGCTGAGCCTGAATCTGTCTCCTGCCCCCAGTTGACCTGTGTTTCTCCTCAGTATTCCCCATTTGTAACATGGGACAGGGGGTGGGGAAGGGGAAAGAGAGAAAGAGACAGAGAGAGAGGGGTGGGGAATGGAGAGATGAGGTAAATGACTTCTTCATCAAAGAGCAAATGGGATGTGAAAAGGTTCTGAGCAGGTCACAATAGAATACTACTCGGTGGAAATGGCATTGGACTGCAGACTAAAGAGACCCAGGTCTCGGGCTCGATCCCCCAGTCCCCAATAGGAGGCCTGCAGGAGGCAGCCAATCCATGATTCTTTCTCATCACTGATCTTCCTATCGCTTTCTCTCTCTCTCCTTTCCCCTCCAAAATCAATAAAAATATATATTAAAAAAAGAAAAGAAAGGATGAAATACTGTCATTTGTGACATCATTGATAGATCTCGAGAATATCTTCCTAACTGAGGTAAGTCAGATGGAAAAGGATGAGAATCACATGATGTCCATCTCATGTGGGATATAAAACTGCAAGCGGCAAATGAACAAACGAGAAAAGAATTGCCCATGGACACAGACACCAGGATATCAGTTACTAGAGGAAAGTTGGGGGAGGGGAGGCAGGCAGTGAAAGGGAAAGGTGGTGAACTTTATGGTGTCAGAAGAAGCTTTGACTTTTGAGTGCCAACACCCCATGCAACGGACATTAAATGTGATAGACTTGAAACACATGTAATTTTATTAACCAACAAATTTAATTAACATTAAAAGATAATGTAATGAGGAAATAGCAATAAAAGAGAAAATGTTTTCTGAAGAAGAAGAATCCTTACTTCTCTGACACCCAGCCTTGGCAGCAGTTAAAGCGGGAACAGAGATACAGAGCTCACAGGTGTCAGACACGGTCCTACAGGTATCACAGTCCATTAGGACAGTGGTGGGCAAACTCATTCGTCCACAGACCCAACCAACAGGACAACGATTGAAATTTCTTTTGAGAGCCACATTTTTTAAACTGAAGCTTCTCTTAACACCACTTCCTCACCATAGACCAGCCCAGGCAGTTGTATTTTGAGGAAGAGCAACACTCAAGGGGCCAAAGAGCCACTTGTGGCTGGAGAGCTGCAGTCTGCCCACCCGTGTGTGACATCAGAGGAGGTGGCATGGATCCCAGGGAAGCTCATCCACTCTCTTTCTCTCTCCCTGGGACACTGTGTGTGTGTGTGTGTGTGTGTGTGTGTGTGTGTGTGTGTGGGTATGTGTCACTGTTCCTGCCTCTTTTTGTCTCTCTGTCTCTCTCCCACACGTGTCAACTGTGCCTCCTAGTGGCTCAGAGTATCTCTTTCCCTCTCTGGTGGATCTCATTCTACCTTCCATAGAAAGATGTTCTTCTAGCCTCCAGCTTGAACAGAGCTCACTTCCTGGATTCCATCACCATTTCTAGGGCAGAGGCCAAGCCTTTGTGAGCTAAGCCTGGGTCCTGCATCCATCCCAATGGGTGGGAGGGTCTATAGAAGCCTAATTGTCACCAGTAGTGAAATGTGAAAAGGGAATCTGGAAGGCTGGCCAACATTAATTGCTCTGAATGGTCAGAGCTAGTCACTCATTGTTTAGTTGTCATTTGGGTAGTAAAAACAACCTCCACCTGTTAATCATCTGTGAATTCTTGCTGATTGTCTATTATTGGAATTTCCTGCCTAAAGGATATTGGTGTTTCCCCTAGCCTCAATAAAAAGGGATAGCAAAGGCCAGAGCAGTAGGTAGTCCTCCCCATAGAGATGAACTCCCGCCTGGCTCCCCATTTTCCCAAATTAACTCTTTTCCTTCTCCTAGAGGTGGACTCCTGACTGCTTTCCCCCCCGCCCCCCACCTCCCTTTCCCAATTTTCCCAAATTAACTCTTTTCCAGTCTCTTCATTTGTGTGCGGCCTTCTCCGGAAACCCTACAGGAATCCTGAACCACACAGATGTGCTAAGAGATCCCATCAAGACCACTTTCCAAGAAGTAGAGAGCTGGTCTTGGAGAAGAGGGAAGTGAACCCAGGGATCAGAAACAATCGGCCGTCAGAACACAAAGTGCTAATCCAAAAGGTTCAAGGTCAGTGTCCAGAACCTGCCAGGGCAAAAACAGCTGGCAGCACAGTCAGGTGCCAGTTCTCAGGTATGAACAAGAGTCACCAGGCATAGGTTCACGAGGTAGGTCTGAGGACATGGGGGATATGAGTTGAGGTGGGAGGGGGCTTTTAGGAACAGGTCTGGGGCTAAACTCAAGGGCAAGTCATGGCTGGGATGTGGGATTCTTGACAAGGTGCAGGCAGGGATGGTGGGGGAGGGGGAAGTTTACATCATTAATAGCCTCCTGGGAATCTTAATTTGGTTTCAGCCTGAGCCGTGCCATCTCAGCCAAGACTTTGGCAAGCCTGGGGGAGGACTTGTGCAGTATGAAGAAAAGACAGACAAAGAGAATAAGCTGGATCTAGGTGAATCTTCTGTAGCTGGCTGAGACCACAGAACGAATCCAGACTGCAAAGCTGAGGCTTTATTTATAGTCAAGGACAAACAAGGTAATTTACAATATTCCAGCTTTCGGAACTCTCTGTCTTTCCAGCCCCAGCAGAAGAGGCCCTTCCTCTGTGGCAGCCACAGAGTCTCTGCCCCTCTCTCTCTCTCTTTCTGTCTCTCTGGGTCTTGGTTTGTCTCTATGTGTCTCTCCGGCACCCTCTGTGTCTCTGGCAACCCCGCTCCAGTGCTCTGTCCTTCTCATTTGGAGTCTGTGTTCCCCCTAACCTGTGGCTCTTCCACAATACACCACGGCCTGGGCAAGTCTATTTCAATGAAGTGGCACTAGAAGAAGCTTCAGTTTTAAAAAAGTGGCTCTCCAAGGAAATTTCAATGGTTGTCCGGTTGACATTTGGCTCTGTTGACTAATGGGTTTGCCGAACACTGCTCTACCATCACAGGTTCTCAATGCTGCGTTTTTGTTTGTTTTTTTCAAGTGAATACATCATGCAAATGGGCAGTGACCTTCTGGTTGACCCAAATGCCCAGAGGATCAGGGCCACACAGACCTTCGTCCAACCCCAGTTTGACGCAGTCAGGCAAGTCCATGACATCATGCTTGTGAAGCTGAGCAGCCCGGCCACGCTCTCTTCCACCTTGAGGACAATCAATGTGCCCTCCAGGTGCAAACCGGCCGGGAACAGTTATACTGCCTCAGGCTGGGGCAGTAGCACCACACATGTAGGTAAGGCTGCTCCTGTGACCCAGGCGTACCAGAGCCCACAGCTCCCTTTTTTCCCTAAGACACAGGACACAGGTAACAAACCCAAGATCCCAGACCCACACTCCCCTTCTCCCTCAGCCAGACCCAGGAGTCCAAGTCACCAGGCCTGTTAACAGCAGACTGAGGACTCTGCCATAGACCCTCTTTCCCTTAACACATAATCCCTGATCCCAAACCTCCATCTTCTGGACCCAGGGGTCCAAAAACCCGTGTCACCTCTTTTTAATAATAATATACATATATAATTTTATTGGTTTATTACAGAGAGGAAGGGAGAGGGATAGAGAGCCAGAAACATCAATGAGAGAGAAATATCCACCAGCTGCCTCCTGCACACGCCCTACGTGGGATAAGCCTGCAACCAAGGGACATGCCCTTGACTGGAATGAAACCTGGGACCCTTCAGTCCACATGCCGACACTCAATCCACTGAGCCAAACCAGTCAGGGCCCCAGTCACCTTTTGATGCAGACCAAGTATGGTTGTCTCTCAGTTGCATCTCCACATTTTCAGTGTGCAGGACCCAGCCTCTGCCTCCATCAGACACAAGAATCCCTGCCCCCAGGTACCCCCTCAGACCCAAAGATCCAGGCCCCCAGCACCCTCCGGGCTCTCACACACAACCTCTGGCTCCCAGCCACCTCATCCTATAGAGAAGAGAGCCCTGGCCTTCTTCACCCTCAGACCCCTAAGCCTTGGCCCCTCAGATCCTCCTCCCTCCAATCCAGGAGTTCCATCACTGGGGCCTAGTTCGTGACCAGAGCCTAGAGTCACCCAGCCTCTCTTTATTGGTCATCCAGAACCTCTCCCTCCACCATTCTTGTATCAGTATCCAGCGGTCCAACCACCCCAGCCTCTGACGGACCCCCTGACTTCCCCAACAGTGAGAAACACATCACAGCTCATGTGCACCAAAGCCAGCATCCTCCCCATCAAGGAATGCAGGGAGGTTTCCTCGAACATGCAGAAGAGGTCCATGCTCTGTGCTGCTCCTCCCAACAGACGGTCCTCCATGGTAAAGTGAGTCCCCTCCTCCCCTACTCTGGGTCCTACTTCCTCTCAGCCGGTCTCCCCCTCCATCCCATGTCCATGGGGAGTGGGAACAGAGGGGCCCTGACCCTGGGGCTGAGCCTTCCCTCACCCCTCACCAGGCCCACTTTCCTGGCTCTCTCTCTCCTCAGTTCTATGCCCAGGTCAGGTGGTTCATCAAACCATGGTGTTGGTCACAACTTTAGCTAAAATTAAAATTCCATAATTCCCATGGATTTTTTTTCTTAGTAAATTAGATTTCTAAGGCATTGCATTAAATACTTGCTGATATTTTGTGCCCGGAGCTAGTGTCTGGCTTGCTTATATGTCTTTGTACCTGGTCCTGGCTCTGGGGAAAGAAGGAGCCTCCTTCTACTCTTTGTCCCCACTTCCTCATCTCTGTAATCCCCTCTTGTCTCTGAGAATTATCTCTCCTCATCCCTCTTTACACCTCATCTTATTTTGCTTTCCTCTGTATTCTCTCTCTCTCTCTCTCTCTCTCTCTCTCTCTCTCTCTCTCTCTCTCTCTCACTCTCTTACTCTTTCTATTTCCTCCATCTCTCCCTCTTTCCTCACCCCATATATTTCTTCTTCTCTGTCACCTTCTACCTTCCCTTTCTTCTCTCCATCCTTCTCTCTATTATAGCCTACCCGCGAATCACGACCACCAGTCACCAAATTGGAATTTAGGAAGCCTTTATTAGGAACTCGAGTCTGGGCTCCCGTCTCAACTGACACAACAGCAAGCAATGAGAGCCCCGACCCACTCTAAACATTCTACCTTTATCCTCGTCTTAGGGATGCCTGGCAGATTAGGATTGGCTAAAAGTTTTAAAAAAGAAACGTCAGTTATAAGTTTCAGAAAAATTCCACTAGTAGAGTAACATTTAAAGTTTATACAACACCTGCGGTCGGGGTTTATTTTCAGCTTAAGCAGTCTCTGTTTCACCTGGCTTGGTCTGTTTGTCCTGCCTTACGGATACTGGTAACAGGACGTGCCTGCCTGGGGGTTAAGCCTTGCAGCTCAATTTTATGACTAACAGTTATGCTTGGCTAAAGCATATCCTGCTACATACTCTATAACTTATAACTGACATTTCTTTGTTAAAACTTTTAGCCAATCATAATCTGCCAGGCATCCCTAAGACGGGGATAAAAGTAGCGTGCTTAGAGTTGCTCCTTGCTTCCCTGGCCTGGAGTCCTGCCTCGACAGGGTGTTGCGAGCCATCTGGAGCTCTGCCTCCACCGGGTCTTGCCGGCCACAACATTCCCCACTGGTCATATTGGGGAATCAAATCATTGATTCTGGCTGCTCCCATTCCTCCTCTCAGATCGGCTAATACTGGGTATGTAGGACCATGAGCTTCACTGCCTGAATTCTATCCTGCTTGAAGGTTGGCAGGCTGCAGAGGGGGCAGGGTCCAATGAGTTACATGAGTAAGAGTAGGGTGAGGGGCCCTGCTATAGCTGTTATTAAGGTCCTTAACCAAGGGGACCAGGAAAATAAGTTTTCATACCAATTTCTTTCTTGTCTTCTCTGTTCTTCTCTTTCTGCTCTCCTGTTCCCTTGCACATGTAGCTTTACTTAGCCCTGGACTTTCTCACTGGCTAGCAAAACTGGTCTTACAGTTACGACACCCTCTAGTATCACAGTTCCCATTAGTACTGTCCTCACTGAAGTCCAATTACCCTCCTGCAGGCATCAAGTCTCCTCTGGGCTTATACATGGAAGCTATATTTCGAACTGGAGTCTGGGCTCCCATCTCAACTGACACAGCAGTGAGCAACGAGAGCCCTGACCCACTCTAAGCACGCTACTTTTATCCCCATCTTAGGGATGCCTGGCAGATTATGATTGGCTAAAAGTTTTAACAAAGAAACATCAGTTATAAGTTATAGAAAAATTCCAAGAGTACAGTAACATTTAAAGTTTATACTACACCATGGGTGGGGGTTTATTTTTAGCTTAAGCAGTCTATGTTTCACCTGGTTCGGTCTGTTTGTCCTGCCTTGCGGCTACTGGTAACAGGACGTGCCTGCCTGGGGGTTGAGCCTTGCAACAGAACTATTTTATGACTAAGTTATGCTACATTCTTTGTTGTGGGTCTGCTTGCCCATTCCTTCCCTGCCCTGGTGTCCTGCCTCCACAGGATGTTGCTAGCCATCTGGAGCTCTGCCTCCACCGGGTAGTGCCGGCCACAACATCTCTAACTCTTTCTCTTTGACTGGTGGCCTCTTTGTATTCCCTCTTTCCTCCTTCACATGCTCACTGTCCGCTTTCCAGGGACAATGAGATGGTGCATCTTTAGAATGGGGGTGTTTTTAAGAATGGGATGGTTCTCCCTGTCTCCCTCCCACCTCCTCAGGGAAAGCTGATTCATGAATAGGCAAGCTGTGCAGGGACACAGAGCCCCACACTGGAGAGCATGTCACTCTAGATTTCACATATGTTTCCAATTGTGTTCAAATGCATATACTTGAAGGTGGTGGACCCATTTTCATTTGCACCGGACCCTTTGAATTGAGTCATGGATCCTTCACCTGGTATCCAGGACAACCCTGGCCCGCATCCTAGAAAAAATGTGTGGATTCCGGGAGATAATGCACCTTCTACCAGGGGCTTGGCAAAGCGTCCCTTTACCATGGAAAATAAATGGGGCTCTGACACCCTCGGAGCCCCGCCCCCTCCCTGTGATTGGCCAGGACTCAAGCCCATGGACTCTTCAGAAAACCTGATTGGTCCTCTCCATAACAGCATCCATTCCTGCTCCACCATTGGTCCGCAGAGACCAGGCATCTCTTCCCATTGGCCAGGTTGGAAGGCTGTCTTCTGGCAGGACAGACATGAACACCACAAGGTATAGGAGACCTCAGGGATGGCTGCTCTGAGGCGGAAGCTCACCTGCTCTCTCCCCTCCAGGGTGACTCGGGGAGCCCACTGATGTGCGAAGGTTCCCTGCAAGGCCTGGTGTCCAAGGGAAATGTCCCTCCTCGACCGCCCTTCCTCCCAACCTTCTACACGCCTGTGTGTGCTTACTGCAAATGTATTAGCGATACCATGAGAGGGAATGCCTAATCCCTCCATACTGCCACCTCTCCATCCCTACACCCTAGAACAGTTACTTCGCAAAGAATAAAAAATTAAAAAATGAAGGCATCCATGACTTACAGACATGTGTGACTTGACTGTCTATCAAAGTCATAATAAAATGTCAACATTAGCTCAAACCGGTTTGGCTCAGTGGACAGAGCGTCAGCCTGCTGACTAAAGGTTCCCAGGTTCGATTCCGGTGTGCCGCTCTCTCATGGAATTCATGGCAGATGTATTCTTCCTGAAGACCTCCTCCCTCTCTCCTAGGTTGTCACCTGTGACCTGAGAAACTCCTTTCCTCCCTCCTCCCTTTCCCTTCCTCTCTTTAAAAATATCAATAAAAAATTCATATCCTCAGTGAGGACTTTTTTTTTAATATATACCCGGCCAAAACCGGTTTGGTTCAGGGTTGGAGTGTTGGTCTGTGTACTGAAAGATCCCAGGTTTGATTCTGGTCAAGGGCATGTACTTTGGTTGCAGGCACATACCGAGTAGGGGTGTGCAAGAGGCAGCTGGTTGATGTTTCTCTCTCATCCATGTTTCTAACTTTTTATCCCTCTCCCTTCATCTCTGTAAAAAAGCAATAAAATATATTTAAAAAATAAAAATGAAAATATACACCAGGGCTCCCAGCTCCTCCTCTGACACCCAGGATTCTGGTCTCCCAACACCCTCCTCGCTCCATTCAAGGTGAATACGTGATGTCAGAGGAGGTGGGATGGATCCCAGAGAAGCTCATCTGCTCTCTTTCTCTCTCCCTGGGACACTGTGTGCGTGTATGCGTGTGTGTGTTTGTGTGTGTGTGTGTGTGTGCGTGTGTGACTGTACCTGCCTCATTTTGTCTCTCTCTCTCCCACACGTATCAGCTGTTTCTCGTCGTGGCTCAGAGTATCTCTTTCCCACTCTGGTGGATCTCATTCTACCTTCCATAGAAAGATGTTCTTCTAGCCTCCAGCTTGAACAGAGCTCCCTCCCACGATTCCATCACCATTTTTAGGGCAGAAGCCGTGCCTTTGTGAGCTTAGCCTGGGTCATGCATCCATCCCAATGGGTGGGAGGGTCTATAGATGCCTAATTGTCGCCAGTAAAGGGAATCCGGAAGGCTGGTCAACCTTAACTGCTCTGAATGGTCAGAACTAGTCAATCATTGTTTAGTTGACATTTTGGTAGTTAAAACAACCTCCACCTGTTAATCATCTGTGAATTCTTGCTGACTGTCTAGTATTGGAATTTCCTGCCTAAAGGACATGGGTGTTTCCCATAGCCTCAACAAAAAGGGATAGCAAAGGCCAGAGCAGTGGGCAGTCCTCCCCAGAGAGCTGGACTCCCGCCTGGCCCCCCGTTTTCCCAAATTAACTCTTTTCCAGTCTCTTTTCATTTGTGTGCGGCCTCCTCCAGAAATCAGACTCTGAACAGGAACCCTGAACCACACAGGATGTGATAAGGGATCCCACCAAGACAGCTTTCCAAGAAGTAGAGAGCTGTCCTTGGAGAAGAGGGAAGTGAATCCAGGAGTCAGAAACCATTGGCCTTCAGAACACAAAGGTCCTAAACCAGAAGGTTGGAGATCAGTGTCCAGGACACACTGGGGAAAACACAGCTGGCAGCACAGTCAGGTGCCGGTTCTCAGGTGAGAAAGAACAGGAGCTACCAATGAGTCACCAGGCACAGGTTCATGAGGTAGGTCTGAGGACATGGGGGATATGAGTTCAGGTGGGAGGGGGCTTTTAGGAACGGGTCTGTGGCTAAACCCAAGGGCAAGGCATGACTGGGATGTGGGATTTTTGCCGAGGCGCAGGCAGGCCCGTTGGGGGCGGGGGGGGGGGGGGGGGGGGCCGGGGAGAGACTTGCATCATTATGCCCCTCCTACAGCCCACTGGCTACCCATGAAGGATCTAGGGAATGTCATCAGGTCAAGCTTAATTATGCTTAGAGGACTGCGACCTCCAAGCTGGGACTTGTTTGGGACTTTGCCAGCAGGTCAGTCGGAGGTTTAACCCTATAACTGCTCCCTACATCAGCCAACTGAGAGTCTGACAGGATGGGAGGGAGTCCCAGGGAAATGTCCTTTGAGGAATGTGGGCTTGTGCCATGGTGATACCGTGAGCAGTCCCCAGCCTTCGAATTCTACCCCTTTTGACTCCTGACCTGGATGACTTTGCTCAAGTGAGCTCACCTCTGTAAGCCTCCGTGTTCTCATCTATAAAAACACGGGAGACAATCCTCACTTGAATCTACGTGAGGAATCGTGACAAGACCTAATAAGCGCCTGACACATCGCACGGCATGTACAGCAAGAAATCAAAGCTGCTTTATTCTCAGCTGGTGATGTCGTCAGGCAGCTAGCAGAAATTCAGTGCCTGCTACAGCCTCTCCATTTATCTTTCATTGTTTTACTAAATGCTCCCATTTGCCTTGAGAAGTAGATTTGTGCCCCCCCACCCCTTGAGTGAGCAGGGGACACAGGGAGGCTTGGAAACATTAAGTTACTCACCTGGAATGGCAGGGAAGGTGATAAGGGTGCAAGCCTGGGCTGGGCTGGCTTGTGAAGCCAAATCCTGTCACATCCCATGGCTGTGGCTGAGGGATCAAGGAAGGACTGAGTCCAGGCAGAACCGGTTTGGTTCAATGGATAGAGCATCGGCCTGCGGACTGAAAGTTCCCGGGTTCAGTTCCAGTCAAGGACATGTACCTTGGTTGCAGGCACATCCCCAGGAGGGGGTGTGCAAGAGGCAGCTGATCGATGATTCTCTTTCATCGATGTTTCTAACTCTCTATCCCTCTCTCTTCCCCTCTGTAAAAAATCAATAAAATATGTTTTTTTAAAAAAGAAAGAAACAAAGAAAGAAAGAAAGAAAGAAAGAAAGAAAGAAAGAAAGAAACAAAGAAAGAAAGGAGTCCAAAGTCATTGGAACTGTGCCCCACCGGTGTGGCTCAGTGGTTGAGCATCAAACTGTGAACCCGAGGGCTGCAGTTCGATTCCTGCTCAGGGCACAATCCCAAGTGGGGAGGGTGTAGAAGGCAACCGATCGACGATTCGCTCTCATTATTGATGTTTCTCTTTCTCCCTCTCTCCCTTACTCTCTGAAATCAATAAAAACATATATTTTTTTAAAAGTTGTCAGAACTGTGGTTGCCAATGATTTCCAAACTGGTGTTATTGAAGTGCCTCCTGTGTTCTCTGGTCTGGACTGAGTGCTGAAGAAAACGGTGACTGTCAGACACATTTCCTCTGCTTGTACAGACCAGTGGTTAGCAACAAAATCAGAAAAAAAATAATAATTAAAAACGCTGACAGACATGCAAATCTTAGCAGAAGAGACGTCTGGTTATTTATTAGTAAATACCAGGGCTTCAGAGAATTGGGTTTGCATCAATAGTTTCCGATGGAATTTTGGGTATAATGTGAGATTTGGACTCAACATTGAGGTCTTAGTAGGGAAAAGTTTGGTTGTCGGAACCAAAATATCTTCAAATCAGAAAGTAAACCTGAAGGAGATATGACATGAGATAAGGGGGCTCCACGGGGCATTAACTCGCCAGCTCAGTGACATCATCAGCTCAGTGACCTCATCAGAGACCCTATCTCCACCCTTTCTGTTCACCTGTAAAGCTATGACATTGTCTACTGGCCACTTCCCTCCGTAGGTCCAAGAGAGCTGTGTCACTTCCAAAATGTGCATCCATAAGGGACACCATCTACACAGAGTGAAGGAGAAGTGTTCTCACGTCTCGCTTTGGAAAGAAGAAAGTAGATCCCAGAAGTGGCCCAGAAGTGAGGGTCTTCCCCTCACTCCTCATTGGCCAGAACCGCACCACGTGTCCATCTCTTAACAAACCCTGAACCGCAGACATGGGCCCCCATGCTCCATGCGGTCAAGCTCATGTGTGGTCACGTGACCACAGCAGGCTGTCCCAACTAAATAACGGTTCTGACAAAGAATGTCAGGAGGAGTGCATGCTGGGTAGGCAACAGCCATGTCTACGATGGGCCAACTTGTGGGATCGAGGTAGAATTGGGTTAGGGGGTCAGGATTGAGATGAGATGTAAGCTCAGAATGGGAACTACGTCATCATCCGGGGTCTGACTTAGACGTGAGGTCCAGTTCCACTAAAAGACACTGGCTGTCTAGGCGTCACCTGGCAATGGCTCCCATCTTGCTCAAAGTAAAGCCGAAGTCCTTACCTGGGTCCTCAATTAAGGTGACTAGACGTCCCGCTTTTGGCAGGACAGTCCCGATTTCTAACAATTCGTCCCGTGTCCTGCGGCGTTTAGAAAAAGTCCCAATTTTTGGAAAGAATGCACGACAAGCTAGGGAATGGCGGGAGAACGGGAAGGGAATATACGGTTTTCGGCGGCCCTGTGGCTATTTAGCCAGGATATGAATTTTATATTATTTTTGTTAATTTTATAATGTTAAACTTTAATAATAACAAATAATTGTTGAGAACTGATTATCGAGAACTGCTTATCAAAGTTCACATTGTTGATCAGCTGTTAGAATTCACTCAAATGAGAAGTATGCCAAAGTGTAAAATAATACTATACTTAATTTTTTTATTTATTATATTTGTAAATTGTACTTATGTTGAAATTTTTTAAAATATATTACAATACTATTTTTGTATTCTATGAAAATTTTTGTTGCTCCATAGAGACCAAATTTTTAATCAAGAACCCCTCCCCCTTGCCCTCCATCAATGGTGTCCCGCTTTACCAATGTTAAAATCTGGTCACCTTATCCTCAATCCCTATGATGTCCAAGTCCTGTGACGGCTCTGACCTCATGGCCCACCCTTCTCCCTTTGACTCACTCAGATACAGAAAAACAAACAAACAAATATATCAGCTAGAACATTCTAGGCCACCCCTTCCCTTCTCACCTGACTGCTCGCTCTGCCTGGAGATGGCTCATCTCCCAAGTAGCTACATGATTCATCCACCACCTCCTTCAAGGTTTTGTCCAAAGGTCCTCTTCACCTGGGATCTTTCTGATGGTTTTATCCAATGAGTGGCCAGATTATGATGATCTCTGAACGTATAATAATCTGGCCACTC